TATTATCTTCTTAAAACAACTCTGTAGAGTAACTAAAATAGATAGTTTCAGCATTTTGTAAATGAAACTGCAGCTCAGAATAATTCAGGGATTTGCTCAAAGTCATAGCACACAAGGATAGATCCAAATTTAGAGCCTAGGTCTTGTGAATCTTGCAAACTAACAGGGAAAACATTCAGAAAAGAAGAGGGCACATAGCTATATACCACATAGCCATAGCTAAAGGAGAGGTATCTCTCAAGCTCAGGTAATGACAGGGAGGAGACAAGCATATTCAGGTAACTTCCTATCAGGTGAGTCACAGCTGTTTGTATTTGGAGTTCTCAAGCCACAGCAAAATGCATTAATCCTTTTAGGCCTGAGTTTGCTGTTATGTGGAATCAGCTTTGAGAAACACAATGCTCAGCCCTCATCCACAGACTCCATGGCTGAGTCATCGCCTCTGGTTGTTTTCTCCATATTTCTACAAACAAGTCATCTAAAGTCAAATGAGACAAAACACCAAAGCCACCTTTACTAGGGCAGAGTGTTTGTGTATACATACTTACACATTCCATACTTATGGAAACATAAATAATCACAATTTGCATTTATCCCAGGAGATTTGTCTTCTATTGTTTCCTGGGACATAATGACAATAAGTGATCTAATTCACAGGCCCATAAACATTCTTTAAGAAAGTGTATATAAAATGCCATATTCCTAGATGATAAATACTATGTTATACCCCATTATTTACCACATGTATTCATTACAGGATTTTATGGGCAATGGATGATCCTTAAAATGTCAGTGATGATCAGTAAATTTTGTTTAGCTCCAGTAATTTAGATACAGAAAAAGAAAATTTCATAATTGTTGCACTCTTGCCCTGTAGAGACACAAAGTTTGTTTTCAAATGCTAAACTATAAGTAGTACAAAAATAATATATTGTGTCAGGAGTTTGTGTGAATATTGATACCTTTTTAGTAAATGTGGGCATTCCACTCTATGATGCCTTATAGAAAAGAAACCATTTTTCCCTTGAAGTTTGCACAGAATCTTCACATTTAACTATCAAATGATCACATCCTTTTTGGTTGTTTATTCTTTGCCCCCCCCCCAACTATAGAAACAAATAGGGAGCAAAGATCTAGAATTTGAAAGAAAACTAAAAAAAAAAAAAAGCTATATTTTCTAGGCATATTTACTTTTAAAATGTTAAAATCATAAAAAAATTATTTTAATACCCAGACAACATTAAACAGAGTCCAATTTGTGAAACAAAAATCTCAATACCTCAAATTTAGAATATTTAAAATCACAATATTGTGAAATCCTTGCATTTTTTATCATTTGTGCACTTATGCTCTATGTCCAGATATGTATGTATATGTGATATTTACAAACTACACTTTTGAACAGATGTTTGATAATATAACACATTATATGACTAGCATGTTCCTTGGGATCAAGTTATTTCATGATTATCTTTTTAGACATATGGTGCTGATATTAAAAGCAAGACCAGAGGGATTATTAAAAATAAAACTTAAAGTGAGGTTTGGAACACTTCCTATTTCCTTTTAAGTTAAACTTATCAAGAGAACTATGTGGTTTCAATCCATAGAGATTAAGCAGGAGCCAAGTCTTTTTGGGTACCTGTACACAAGGCTAGAGGCTTGGAAGGACCAGTGTTAGAAATTCACACAGTAACTGATGAACACCTTTGCTTGAAGGGGTGGCAGTGAGGTATATGTGCTTCGTTTAGAAAAATACCTAGGCTGCATCATGAGTAAAGACCTGTGGATAAATGTGTTGGGCACTTTTCTATGAAATATTAATGTAGACACTGGTTCATTCCATCTAGGAATGAGTCCTAGGTACTGCTGCTGCTTCTACTGGTCTGTGGATAACACTTTGACTATTTATTGTTGGGTAGGAGTTAGTATTGTTTTCATTAGCTCTTTATAAAATTTATCTTAAAGATCTAGAATATCAACTAAGAAACCATCAGGTTAGCTGTGCATACATAACTATCGACCCTTCTTTTTTTCCCCCTCAAGTTTTGTCACCATAATTCTATAATCCTTTTTTGTCACCATAATTCTATAATCCTTTTTTTTCCTCAAAAAGAAATTACAGAGCAAGATGGCAAGATAAATAATACATACTCTCCTATCATGATGCACAATTATTAATGTAATTATGGTTATATAAAAATGAGCATGCATTTCCTAAAGAATACTTGTTTCATGGAAGTAAGGCACTGAAGGTAAATGTTTGAAGACAAGTTGGCCAAACTTCTGTCACTGGACCACCAGAATTACAAACCTCCTTTGTCTTCTATTGCCATTGTACATTATTCAGGGCCACAGTCTCACTGAGAGAGGATTTTTTTGCCTCTCCTTGGCATTTCACTTTCTCAGTGCCAAACATCTACTGTGGCTTCCAAATGAATCAAGTTCTCCTTCCTCTCCTCCCCTGGAAACTCATACTCCCAGCAAAATGTCACAAATAAAGTGGAAGCATGCCCTTCCCAGCCTAGACTTGTAAACAGAAAGCAAGAACACCATTCTTCAGCAGGAAACTGACCCATAAAGCTTACTGGATCCAGTTAAAGAGATTGAGAAGAAGGTCAGCTAAAAAAAAAAAAAAAAAAAAAAAAAAAAAAAAAAAAAAAACTCTCTTTATCTTCTGATAGAGCTCCACCAACCCAAAAATAAAGCCTTGTCTAAAGCAAAGGAAATTAAAAACAGAGAATGTTAGGGGAGACCTGGGAAGGTGATGGATTCTCACAGGTGACTTATTTGCATGCTCTGTTTATCGTCGCTTTGCCAAGGACTAACTGGTTCTGTTTTTATTCTCATTTCTCTCAACCCTCACTTCCACACTATAATACATACTAAAGTGTAATGTTTTTTAAAATTTCATATCTTTGGGGCCATAGACATAAAGAACTTCTGTATCGTATATAGATATTTGTGTAGTGAGACTACATCTTCTAGATTTAAATTTCAATACCTTTTTTTCTTTTGAATTATCATTTAGATATTTATCTAACTCTAAGATAACTATAGCTTAAGATACAATGATGGTACTTAGAAAGTCCTTACAAAGTTCACCAACACTCAAAAACTTGTACATTCAAGGTATTCACTTTTCTCACATTCAATCTTGTAACATGAAAAAAAATTCCTAGATATAGCATAAATTTATGTAGAATTCTTCACTAATAAAGGGTTAATGATGTTAGGGAATATGGATATTAGGAGTTGAGAGGGCATGCTTGTGTGCTTGCAAAAACATTTTCTGCATTATGTCCGTCCAATCTCTTTGCAAACAGATGAATTACTCTATAAATCTTATTGCTCCATGTGGATAAATCATACATGTAGGTTTACCAGGATGGAGAGGTACATGGGAAAATCTGCTTTGGATAGTAGGATCTTTGGGATTCATAATCACTCAATACTCAGAAAGTGAAGAAAGGAGTACTTACACATTAGCATTTTCTTACTTTTTATAATCTGGAACAACACATATATAGACAACACACACACACACACACACACACACACACACCATTTTCTCTTCTAACAAGGCTAGAGATCCCAAAGCAGGACACTCTGTGACAGCCAACCAAATTTATTTCTGAGAAAAGAAAAGAAAACTTTGCTGCTGTAGGCAGCTCTGCCACAGAACTGCTCCCTTATGCCCCAGGGTTTATGCACTATCAGCTCCTTGCACACAGATTAGAGGTTTATTTTCTATCGCACACTGTTTTTTATTGCCACAACCAGCAATATTAGCTAGATAGATAGACCGACACTGGGTCATTTTATTTGGAAGAAATGGGATTTTAAAAGATCTCAAAGGAGAGCATTTTCTTTCTGTTTTCTTTCTCTTTTCTTTATTTTCCCCCCTTTTTAAAAAATTATTATTTGCTAGAAATTCAAGTAAAGCTGGAAAAGCAAGGGTGGAGGGGAAGAGATAAGAGAAACACAGGAAAAGCTGTTTGGAGCTTTTTAGAAATAGAATAAAGATGAGGTGCCATTTGAGTCTCTCTAGCTCACTGTCCCTTATAGGGGTCAAACTCCCAAGGACTTGGGACTCTTCCTTTCCAAATTTCAATCTCAAATTATATTTCAGAGTTTGGCAGAGCTATATAAAGATAAGAGTTTTTAAGTCAATAATCATTTTGATTATGCCAGGTTAATTCTCTCACAACCTCTAGGCTTAACACTTCTATTCTTAGTATGCCAGCAATTGGGCATACTATTATTTTTTCTTCTCCTCATTCTTGTGGTGATTTCTATCCACAGTCCAAAAAAGGCTCAGTAACCAACCAAAGTTCTAAGATTGATTTTTTTTCCCTGGATGTCAATTAGAAGATCTTTACAGAAAGTCTTCTATCAGAACTACTGCTGGCAGAGTGAAAGCCTGGATGTACAACACACAACACACACACACACACACACACACACACACACGGGAGAAGCAAGGAGAATGCAGTACCATGTACCACTCTTTTAGAGCCAATAATTCAACAACTCTTCTTTCTGGATTAAGAAACGTCAACAAAACTCTAGAGGGCAAAGCATGAGCAATTAACAAAAACAGTAATACTGCTGGAATTCCACTAATTCCATAGGTGAAGTTAGGCTTCCTTGATCAGAGGAACAACATCCAAAGAACCAAACATTTCACCAGCACCATTGGCTCTTGACAGGGACCAGAATTCCTTTGAATGTTGTTGGCAGTCGACTACCAGTCAGTGAAAGGGATACATACACACACACACACACACACACACACACACACACACA